TGATAAAATATACATAATCAAGATTAAGAACTTTTGCTCTTCAAAAGACATTATTAACAGAAACAAAAGGCAGGCAGCCACACACTGGGAGAAAAGTTAGGCAAAACATGCATTTAAGTATGAATATACCACAGAGAATCCTGCATATATATAATTATAATGAACTAAATGAAATAATAATAATACAAGAGATATCAGTGGAGTAGAGCAAGTAGATCAGGTACAGAGAAGAAGGGAAGAAAAGGAAGGTACTAGGGAATAAAATTGATCATATTATGCTATGTGTKTGTATAAACACAGCATAATGAATCCCACTATTATGTATCATTATAATGCACCAATTAAAAACATGCATTTGAGAAAGAATTTTTATCTAAACTATATTTAAAAAAACTTTTACAAGTCTATAGTGAGAAGATGAACAACCCAATTTAAAAATATGCAAAGAATCTGAACTAATATTTCACAAAAGAAAACACATGCATGGTCATGAAAAAATCACTAGACATTTACGGTCACATATACCCACTAGAATAGGTCATTTAGAAAAACTGACAATACTAAAATCTAACAGAGATATGGAGCAACTAGAAATCTTATAAATTGCTGATGGGAATGCAAGGTGGCACACCACTTAGGAAGCAAGATGGCAGTACAATCAAACATGCATGACCTAATGACTCTAGTCCTAGGTACTGACCCAAGCCATAGAAAAAGTGTCCACACAAGTGTGTATGTGAATTGCTCTTAATATCAAAATATTACTCACATAATAGCCATAAACTAGAAACAACTTAAACATCTCAATTACTGAATAGATTTTTTAATGTGGTATAACCATACCATGGAATATAAATAGGCAATAAAAATAAAAGAAATGGCTGGACACAGTGGCGCATGCCTATAATCCCAGCTGCTTAGGAGGCTGAGACAGGAGGATCATAAGTTCAAAGCCAGCCTCAGCAAAAATCAAGGTGCTAAGCAACTCATTGTTTTTTAGATTCTGTCTCTAAATAAAATACAAAATAGGGCTGGGGATGTATCTCAGTTGTCAAGTGCCCCTGAGTTTGATCCCTAGTACCAAATAAATAAATAAATAAAAGAAATGGGTGAAACTTAAATATTATGCTAAGTAAAAGAAATCAAACACAAAAATCTATTTGCTATATGATTCATTTAAACAAAATTCTAGAAAATGCAAAAATTCTAGTGATAGCATGCCAGTGGTTGCTTGGGGCTATGAAAGCAAGACAGCTATTCTCTCTTGATCATGGTATTTGTTGCATGGTTGCATACGATCACCAAAATCAGCAACCACACACTTAAAAAATTTGTGAGTTCCTTAATGTACAGATAATGTCATAATTTTAAAAAGGATTTTTAAAGGAGTATTCTGCACACTGAATTTGAGCAGCTGAGTATATCAATTCAGATTATTTAGGTGAACTCAAAGAGATTTGGCAATAAAAGTCAGCCTTCCAAAGAAAATGACAGATCTGTTATTAAAAGTATTAGAAAACGGTATATCTGCTCACTGGCATGGCAGTTAAATCAAGAGTTTAGTGCTCACTGGGTGACTCTGAGGAAGAAAAATGGATTGGAATCAAGAAAAAGAAAATAAAAAATATCTTATTTTTCCTTTAGGTCAAACAGTGACTTGCTAAGAAATAGCATTAGAAAATCCTAGGGGAAAAAAAAAATTCTGGTATCAACTTAAGAGGATTTATTCTTCACAGCTAGTGACATTGCATGACAGAATTGGAAAATGAATAAAGGCAATATTTCCCAGTGACTTTAAAAAGAAAAAGCTTCCAAAATTGAGATTAAAAATTATCTTTTGGAAATTGATAACTCAGTGATATAAGATTTTTCAACTTAATTTATATAAAAGAGCTAAAAAAAAAACTAAATAATTTTACCAAACTGCATGTTTTCCATTTTTAAAATAAACTGTTTCAGGACAATCTTACATTTATAAAAATTACTGCAAGCTATTACTAATATTTCCAACGTACCTCACACTGAATTTCCCCTATTATTCACGTGTGGTACTTTCTCCATAATTAATGAGCAATATTAAATATATGTTATCTAATGGCCTTCCCTTACTCAGGTGTTCTTTGTTTTGATCTAATGMCTTTCTGTTTCAGAATCCTATGTAGGAAACATTATATTCAGTCACCCCCTCTCTGAAGGCATCCCTTGATTGTGAGTTTCTCAGACTTATCTTGCTTTTGATGACCTTGAAGAGTCCTAATTAAATATTTATAGAATTTTCCTCAGTTGATCTTTGTTTAATGCTTTTTCTCATATTTAGAACTGGATTGGATGTTTTAAATATCTTTAGCTTCATTCTTTAGCTCTTAAAACCATCATGATATTATCAATATAATAACTGGAATTATAGCCAAACAATTTCTCATTCTGGTTAAAAATCAAAACTCATAAAAGTGCTCCTGCTATAGTCAATGTAAGTTAATTTTTCAAAGTGTACTACCCATTACACTAGAGCTCTAAAATGAAGCTATTTTTAATATACTCTCTTGCATAAAAACCACATCAATAATATTAATTCAATAAGCCTCAAATGAGACAGTCATGAGTCCATACCCATGTGGTTATAATTTCTAAACTTGCAGGGAGTTGTTTTTACTAAGTTTAACTTTATTCTTTCTAAGGAACTATATATTATGATATATTCTCTTCAAAATCACTAGTGTGTTGAAAAAATAAAGGCAAGAAACAACAACAAAAAAGTATTTTCCAAGTGTTTTTAAGAAATAGAGACAGCCTTGAAATATAAAGGAAAATATGAGCCTCTTTGTTTTCGATAACTTGATGTTATAATTAACTCTTATTATTAAATTGTTTAAATTTAATAAAGGAATGTGAAAGTAAGCAGTTTAGCATGTCAAGGGAGAGAAACAAACCCCTTTAATGAGGACACTAAATCAGCAGCAGGTCACTTTTCTCATGATACAATGATGAAAAAATTTCACAGGAATTTTCATATCAGTCAAGGTCTGGATTCTATCCAGACTGCAATAAAATGTTTTAACATGTATACACCAAGGTATTATTTGTCTGTAATCCTAAAGATGAGGTCAATGAGGAAGAATACCCAACAGGAAGTTAGATGTGTTCCCAAGGGGAAATGCTGCTTAAAAATAACCTGGTGAAAATGACCCCTTTGATATAAGGGGAGTAAACAAGGACAGGGTAGGGACGAAGAGCTTGAGAAGAAGAT